ACTCATGAATTCAACTATTAAATAACTATAATACCTGCGAAAATCCCCTCTCCAATTATAAATTTATTATATTCATCTGATGTGAAGAATAAGGTTTTTTGTCAATGATTTAATTTGAAAGATAACACCCTATGATGACCTGGTTCAGTAAACGTTTAGTGGCCCTGTAAAATCTGACTCCAATGCGATCGTGTAATTACTTTTTATTGAAATATACATGCCGCCAATCCTTGTGTATAATCATCAACTTAACTCGCATTATTGAATAACGGAATTAAATAAGTCATATACCAGAAGGCTTTTCGAATACGTGTATTTCATAGAACCATTGATCCAGACAAACGATCGGAAAAACGAGGCGAAGTGACGCGCGGTGAAGAAGGCGTGTGAGCTAACTCACTTTTATTAAGCGTTACTCAATAATTGTAGTCAAACCGGGGTGAAACAAGGCAAAGCAAATGCTAAGTGAGACGAAGCGAATAATAAACTAGGTCGAAATGTGACTCAAGAAGTATGGATAAATTGGCCAGTCCGAAAAGTAGAATAACCTATGTGGGCTCGACAGACGCTGATATAATAAACTTGCCACTGATTTTTAGGATGAGTGGTTTAGTAAGTGCATATTTATGATTACTATAACTAATCGTTCACTTTATTTGACTTTCTGTCCAGCTTTAAAGTAGTATGTCACTTACTTACTTACGCCTGTTACTCCTCGTGAAGAAGCATGGGCCGCTCACCAGCATTCTCCATCCAACCCTGTCCTGGGCAATCCTTTCCAGCTCTTTCCAGTTCTTATTCATCCCTTTCATATCCGCTTCTATTTCCTGATGTAATATGTTCTTTGGCCTTCCTCTTTTCCGCTTCCCTTCAGGATTCCAAGTTAGCGCTTGTTTCGTGATGTAGTTTGATGATTTCCTCAGTGTATGTTCTATACATTTCCATCGTCTCTTCCTAATTTCTTCTTCAGTTGGAGGCTGGTTTGTTCTCTCCCGCAGAAGGCTGTTGCTGATGGTATCCGGCCAATGGATTTTGAGTATCTTGCGTAGACAGCTATTGATAAATACTAGTACCTTCTTGATGGTGGTTGTTGTAGTTCTCCAAGTTTCAGCTCCGTACAGTAGAACTGCCTTGACGTTGGTATTGAAGATTCTGACTCTGATATTGGTTGGAAGTTGTTTTAAGTGACGAGTTCAGCTCAATTGATTGTTCGACGATGATCCGTAGTGTCGCAATTTGGTCTGTACACGACCGACCCTTAAGGAATCCAGCTTGTTGATCTTGAAGTTGGGCGTCTACTGCGACTTTTATCCGGTTCAGCAACACTCTGTTAAAGACTTTTCCTGGTAGTGAGAGTAGTGTAACGCCTCTGTAGTTTTCACGCTTGCTAAGATCTCATTTCTTTGGAATCTTGATGAGGTGTCCTTCTTCCCGGTCCATCGTCACTTGTTCGTCCTCCTAAATCTTCTTGAAGCATGTTTGTAGTTACTTCGATGTCTGACTTCAGTGCTTCATCTGGTATATTGTCGGGTCCTGCTGCTTTCCCGCTCTTGATTTGTCTGATGGCCATTCGGATTTCTTCGGTGGTTGGTGGGTTGACATCTATAGGAAGATCTGTGTGTGCTGCCTCGATGTCCGGTGGATTCTTCGGAGCGGGCCTATTCAGGAGTATATTAAGCTATTGCTAAATTGTGAAACATGAGGATCTCAACAAAATGTCAAATAAAAATACTTTTTTAATTAGTAACTCTAGACATCCATGTTATGGAATTCATCCACGACATAGAGTTGATTTCACTCTTATTTAATCACTTCTAAAGATATATATATATATATATATATATATATCATTCCACTTCAAAAAAAAATATCGAATATGCAACAGATGGTAGATTAGATCACTTAATTGATAAATAAAAATTAAAAACAAAGAAGCTCAAATTGTATGTCAGATAAACATTTATACTAAACCACAATTCAGTAGATAATCAGAATAAAAATGATATAGTTTAATAAAATATAATTTTAAACCATCTCCTATGAAAAAACACTTTAATTCTTACAATGTCATATGTTTATTTATTTATTTCATCATTTAATTACTACTATTGATCTGTGATAGATTATTTCCTTACTTTGAATTAGCTCAACTTTTAGTCATAGCCAAGTTACCTTAGTAAAACATGTCCAGAAAATATGTTACCAACTTGATCATGAATTTTCAACGGACGATACATCAAAACAAAAAAAAATCACAAACAAATAATTAAAAAACCCAACTCATTTTTACGTTATCTTAGATCGAAATAATAATAATAACAATAATAATGGAAAAAAATATAATGAAAGTCTCCAAAATAGAACATTCATTTACTTTCTTACTCTGTCATTATGAAAGAAAGAAAATATAAACACCCTGGATACAACATAATAAATAAGTTGATATTTAAAGAGCAAAATTCACAATACACTTTATAATCTTAATTATTAGTTGTATAAATATTTATATATTTTTTATTGGATAAGGCTTTTTATCATTACAATAATTCTAACAATTCCTTTGAATATAAGCTAAGTTAGAAAATAGTTTAATCGATAATTAATGGGATATAATATATCCCAAAAGATGAATGACTTCATATTGAATATAAGTAGTTCGTTAAATAAATCCATTTCAACTTATATAATTATTATTGTAGTAAATTAACATTTTTTTATACTACTAATTACTTACTTACGCCTGTTACTCCTAATGGAGCATAGACCACCGACCTGCATTCTTCAATCCACTCTGTCCTGAACCTTCTTTTCCAGTTCTGTCCAATTTTTGTGAAATAATACTAATTAGTAAAAAATATTTTCAATTAAATTTTTGTTAAATTAAATTAAATATTCCGAGAGGGGTTTTGTGGATGTTTATTCAATAGTTGAATTCATGAGTCGATTGAAGCTAGACCACCATGGAAAACCTAGAAGCACTGAACGACAGTTTCGTCCTAGTATGGAACTCCTTAGCAGTAGTCTAGTGGTTCAGCGCTCGCTCGCGAGATTAATAGATCCTGAATTCGAATCTTCCAAGGTGGGAACGTGGATTATGAGGAGTACCATACTAGGACGAAACGGCTGTCCAGTGCTTCCAGGTTTTCTATGGTAGTGTAGCTTTAATTGATTGATGAATTCAACTATTAAATTAAGTTTGAATTATGCTTGAACGTAACACATGTAATAATTAAAGCCACTTAATTACTTTAATTAGGTTTATTACTCAAATTGCTAATCCACATCTGATCTATTCATTTCCCGTTATTATGTTTTATAGAGAATTAAACATTATTGATGATGTTATCTTAAATGATAATGAATGCATTGTAATGGAAACAATTAACTCAGAATATATATAATGCCACCGAAATGATATTGCATCAATTTATAGATTGACCCATTCAATATTATTTTATGGGGAGTCATAAATACGCAAAAATTATTTGAGAATGATTTTATACATAGACTAACATAAATAAGTGAGTTATTTAAAGATAGCAAGCACTGGTTTCCGAGTCAATATTCATCATATTAAACTTACCTTTATAGAACGTTTTAACAATCATTCAACAATAAAGACTAAGGAGCATTGAACAGCTGATTCATCGTAGTATGGGATTTCTTATAAATGTACTTTCATGAACATACTGAGGACCAAAAGGTAGATTACGTGGTGAGTATTTATTACTTCAACTGTTGTGTCGGCATTCGACGGTTTATATATCTAACATCAATCAGTTTGTGATATTCAGCAACATCTTTTAATATCATTGGTGGGAAATTATCTTACAGTGAACATGGTTAGACTACAGTGGTTAAAGTTTATCATTCATAATCGAGGAATTAATTCACAAAATCGGTCATCTATAAGCGCATAATTACAATTAGCGTGAAATTATCACAGAATTTGTTGAGTTTTATGGTTCACATCGCGGGTTGGCGTTAATTAGACATAAACTGAAAACCAGGAAGGTTCAGGATAGATCCACGGTTTGCGGTGGATGTACATTGAAGAAGAGTCCTATACCAGAATGAAACATCTCATGCTAATGACCATGTTACTAAGATATGTAGTCTGATATAGAAATAAAATGATACGCTGTAAGTGCTTTGAAAACTTCCTGACGTAATGAATATTACACAATCACTTATATTCCGAACTGTAATTGTACTTTCAATTGTCCGTTATTACACTGTATGAGTGGTACACCTACACCATAAAAATGATATATATATATATATATATATATATATATATATATATATATATATATATATATATATAGAAAGAGGGATCTGAATGTCTGTCATACTTGAGCGCTTGTACGAAAGTCTTAATCATCTCATTTCTAGCTTACGAACTGCTTGATTTAAATGTATATTCTAACAAATTTGTTTGTTATATATTTAGTTTATTTTGGCATTTCTATTACTTGCTTTAGATGTGATCAACTTTGTTGAATAGAATCATTCATTAATGATTAATTCATCCTATTCAGCTGTTTCATTCCGCTTTTGTTAGGTCTCAATAGTGGTTTCTGGAAACCAGTATGCACTAGATAACTATTTAGCCTTAATTTTGAGCTTTATTTCAGAACGATAGACCTTAGTCATCAAGTCACTTATTCAGTATTTCATATTACATTTCTTTTTATTTAAAAACTGAATTAGTTCGTGATCCGTCAACATTTCCATCCAGTTTGTTCATTGAATAATTTCTTTCCCAGTTTCCTAATAAATCATATGTAAATTCTGATAGTCATACTAAAGATGAATATTTTTATTTCAATAATTGATTTAGTCATGAACCATAATAAAAGAACTATAATCTAAATCTCAATCATCTTCATTAATTCCCTATTATATTTACTACTTAAAATATCTTTCTATAGTCCCATAGTTTCAAAAAGCAACTGAGACAAGTGAAATTTTGTTACTGCTTTTTTTATTTTTTTTTTATGTAGTAAGTCCACATGTCTTTTTTAATCTAATAATAATTCAAAAATAATACTGGTTTAAAATATTTTAATAAACCAGTCAAAGTGATTACGTAGTATGTCATTTTATATATATATATCTTTTTCTCTTCTTTTTCAGAATTATTTTATTATTACTATTATCTTAATGGAATATTATCAACCATCACCATGGTAACTAATCAAGCAACAAATTCTACTATGAATCTTCCAACTTTGGTTATTTTAATTAAAAATATTTGTATTCCTTTTTATTTATTAATATTAATATTTGGTTTATTTGGTAATGGATTAACAGTTGCTATATTACAATCAAAACGTTTACAACAATCTAGTACATTAATTTATTTAACTGTATTAGCTATTGTTGATATATTCTATTTACTTACTGGTTTATTAGTCACTATAATTAACTATACATTTTTATTTCCAAGTGATATTAGACATTATTCATTAATTTCATGTATTTTAACACCATATTTAAGTTATACATTAGCTTATTTAAGTGTATGGTTATTAGTTTCAGTAACTATTGATCGAGCAATTTGGGTTGTACAACCATTTAGTGCAAAACGTGTATGTACAACACGTAATGCATGGTTAACTATATTTAGTATAACAATTATTTTATTTGTATTTGATTCACATTTCTTTTGGACAATGAATTATAATATTGATTCAATTAATTCTACAAGTAATACTACTTATTATAAATGTACACCGAGTTATTTTACACAAACTATATTTCCATATATTGATTTATTATTAGTATGTGTGATTCCATGTTTATTTATGCTGATAGCTAATGGATTAATTGGAATACAATTAAAACGAATGAGTGATTTTAATAAAAAACGACAAAAGAATCGTTTAATTTTAAATCATGCTTCAATTCAACAACAACAACAACAACCAACACAAGGATCATTAAAGTGTGCATACATTTTGACATCAGGCAAATTAACAAATGACTCTCGTTTAAATGATGACTTGTCAACAAATGTCAGTGGTACACAATATCCTAGAAAACGATGTAAATCAAATGCATTGAAACATTGTGTTAAGAATTCTATTAAAGGTCGTTCAAATATGAATAGGTCTTCATCATTGACAGCAATGTTACTAGCAATTAATATGTTTTTTATGATAAGTGTATGTCCACTTCTTGTTTATGATGTAATATATTTTGCGTTTAATTTAAATACATGGATTGAAAAAGATGAATTAATCAGAGGTGTATTAGTTTTCGGTATTGAACGATTTGTTTATGTTTTATGGTATACTAATTTTGCTGTACACTTTTTATTATATTGTCTAAGTGGTCCACAGTTTAGAGCACAAGCAAAACATTGGCTTCAGTCATGTTGTCATTTTATGAATTTACCTTGTTTAGTTAATGATAAAACAACAGTAAAACTACAGGATACAACAAAAATTCATGAATTTCATGATTCCACTATAAGAAAACCAATTTCACAACAAAATTTAAGTATAAATTATTGTCCATCACCTAAACAATCTTATGATGATACAATTAAACGATCTTCATATCATCATTATCCACAACAAGGTCATCAATCTTTATTTGTACAAATTAATGATGAAAATCATCAAACATTTAGATATAATTCTGTTCAATCTGGTTGTATTTAACAAATACATGCAAATATTTCAACGATAAAAAATCTACTTTACCATAAATATTTTTGTTTAAAATAACTCGAAATATTATTATTATTATCTCAAATCATTTGAATCTTTTATTGGATTAAAATTTAACCACCCGGATTGATAAGGTTTATTTAATGATCCATTAGTTATTATCAAATATTCAGTCAATCAATCAATCAATCAATCAATTAATCTAACTAGATATATCTATGACTAACATGGGGTAAACAATAAAGACATAACAACAAAAACAACAACGACGACGACAGCAACAACAGAAGAACAGAGAATAACAACGTTATCGTGAATCAGTGTGGAAAATAAAAAAATATATATCTATAATAAATAAATGAATATATATTTGCAATGGAAATGAATAAGTAAGAGATGAAGTAGACTTTTTTTGTCATATATACAACTATTCTTTTTTTTAAACAGAAAAATGTTAATGCTGTACATAATTATATATTCTATTGAAATAATGTTTTGCTGTTAATTTGGTTGTTGCAAAACATAATGTGATACTATTGGATTGTTGATTTTCTTTCTTTTTCTTGTGCATTCGTCGTTAAGAAATACTGTTGCTAGTTAAGTGGGCTAACTAACCTAACTGGAATGATTATCATTGATGAAAGTTAAATGTTAATTCAGCCACTACTTTTAATGATAGTTATTTAGGGTATAATTTATCTTTCAAACGATTACAGTCATTGCATACTAAAACGAATGAAATAGCTGATTTGGATGTTAATGTCATTCTTGTTTACCTTAGTCAGTGTATAATACAAAGCCTTTGAAGCTTCAGTAGGTTATGTTACTAATAAGGTACTTTATTACAAAACATAAATTGACCTTTTTACAAGGTGACTGAACTCAATACATTTCTAATGATATATCACTGAGAACCTAGTACATCAAATGCCAATACTTACAAACTATAATTAAATCCATCTTAATATTTACAAAGATCTTCGATAATACGTTGGATATAAGATTTCAATGAACATTGAGATAATTTGCCATGTATTCTATTTCATTATTGTAAGGCGGAAACAAACTGGTGAAATCATAGGTCAATATTTCTTGATATAATTTAAGCTGTACTCTTGGAAGTTGCTACAATACAACTTCAACACTCATCGTAATATATATGGATAATCAGAAGCTCATGTTCGAAACATAAGCCACAAGAGTCAATCGAATAGTTAATATGTTAATACCTCACCAAAAATGTTGGAACACACTACTTACAAATGCAGTTGGGAATAAATACCACTGATTTTACCTTAATAGTTTAAATACATCATGTTCCGACTGAAGCTGGTAATCTTGGGTTTATTCTCATGTGAGTTGTTTGATACACATTTCATAATAAAATGCAGCAACAAATCAAGTTACCCAATAAGAGTAGAGGATAAACATATAATCTAAACAGGCCATCGTAACTCGGCTTTTGTGCTGTTGTATAAAAGTGTAAAAGGGCGAATACTAAGGTTTATTGAAGTCTTAGCCATACGAAAATTTAAACCCCCTTTGTGTTTTCAAAAGTAGTCTGTTCTCACCTACCCTGGTAATATTGGCTTATTATCCAGAGTGATTAGGTGCCAAATTGTGTTCACATTTATTATTATTATTATTAATATTATTAATATTATCATTATTATTACTCTTATCATTATCCTTGTCTCCTCTTACCCCATTTCCAGTCTAGTTGAACATTTATTTTTATATATAAATGTTCTTAACAAGTATATGTGTGGTCAGATTATTCGAAATGTGTTTGATTGAGATCATGAACCCATTCAAAACCTTGAAGCATTGGATGGCTGTTTCATCCTATTGTGAGACTCTTCAATAGTGCACATCCACGATTCCGCTTACGGGATTCAAACCCAGGGTCTTCAGTCTCGCGTGCGAACGCTTAACCTACTGGACCACTGAGCCGGCATCCAGTTGTGGTAATGTCTAACCTCAACCAATACACAAAGTTGCGCGACCATCTTCGATTGTACTGTGGTACATAACTGTCTCTACCCGACGCGGATTACTTTCACTGGTCACAGCTTCTCACTAGAACTCCGAGAATTTTCTCACGAAGCTAGTCACTAATGAGCACAAGGTAATTATCAGTTTCGAGATTATAATAATAATATATTCTGAAAATAATAATTACAGAATTCACGCCAGTTTACAGGCATGATCAATTTGATATAAATAGTAACATTATATGTACAGAACAAACATGTGATAGAAGAAAGTTTTAAGTATACTAGTTCAGTAATTGTTTGGGCAGTACATGTATTACAGCGATACAATGCATCAGCCGGAAACTTTTCATTTTTCTAAAATGGACAGCCTGTTGTTTCATGAACGGAGTAATTGGGGTCATTTCGTGTGCCAGATCGAATTATTCATAATTATCTACAATTAGAGAAATTAAAACGAAAACAGAAAGCACGGAACAACAAAGCAAAAATTACCAAAATATATCAATCAGATCTACCAAAATGCGTCTTCATTGTAGTCGTTGGTAGGCGCGTAGCATTGGATGACGTTCATTGTAATGCCCTTTTTCTTTGTTTTGAAGGAGGCTTTGATGATCCTTAGTCCATGAGATTCCCATCCTATAAGTGCATTTTGTGCTTGTTTAGACAGCATATGTGTATTTGGGGCATTTTCTTGTTCATGTCCGGAGTATAACAGCAGCTCCCCTGAAGCTAGTCGTTGTTGTCCAACTTGCGTCCAATGTGTTTCACTGATCCCAAGCACCTCTAGGTTGTATCTCCTCATTTCTGCAGCCATTTGGAAAACTCTCCCAGTCTCCCACATTGTACGAGCATTTCATGTACCTAAATAAATAGTTGCTCTGGTAGTCAGAAGGGGTATCGGCCTCGTAACTTCCGAAGAAACTCGGCTTTCATCATGAGGCGTCATAATTCTTCTAAATGAAGACCTGACTCTCAGGACAGAGTTTAAATGGTTTGAATAATTTTTTCTGGTTAGCGTTGTTTTAGCGAGTTATTTTTCTACGGGATGGGGTCGCTAACCCCATGCCCAACCCTCCTCCTTTGTCCGGGCTTGAGACAGGCAGTAGCCCCTGAAGGGACTACAGGCGGAGTTGATATAAAGGCAACTAGTTATTTTTTTAAAATCACAACTGTATATAGTAATCTTCCTGAATTTTTTGCATCCCCATAGAAGAAGTTAGTCAACTACAAATATTCTATTTCATAATTCATTTTATCAGCATTCAATAAAATCACTGTTTATAAATGATTTCAACATAAGTTTTCTTTTCTTTTATCTGTCCTGAATATCTTTATGTTTATGATCTTGTGAAATTAATTTATAAAACTTCCAATTAGTCTAAATTAATTGTATGTAACTATAGGGAAGTGAATTTATGTCATTTTACTTGAAACAAGATTAAATTAATGAAGAATGATAAATATTCGACTTTTATAAGTATCATTACCAAGATTTGATTTGATAATTTCAAATAAATTGAGCATTGGGTAGATTGTTATAAATAAATTAATGTATTTGTAATATCTCAATGAGTAGGAAAATTAGATTTTCTGACGTTTCGTGACAGTGTGAGCCACTTCTTCAGAGAATAAATGACCAAATTAAAACTAACCCAAGTTTAAATAGTACAACGGAACAAATATACTTATTTATTCGACTTTTAATTTGTCCGTCTTATATATACTACAAGAAATCATAATCTTAATATATTTATTTGATAGACCTATTTTGAGGTGAGATTAGATTGTATATCCAATTTCTTATTTATAAAATGAATTAAAGAAACAATTCAAAATTTGATAATTTCTATTAAAATAAATCTACACTTTTGTCCTAGAATAAAAATGAATATCAAATAATTTCAATTTATAACTGATTGATTCTATGAATATGAATAAATGGTAGTGTGATTGAATTAAAATGACAGAATAAATTAAGTTTTTAGATAGAGTTTAGTTCAATGAACTAGGTGAAATTTCATACACATAGTTCTCTTTATCATTTTGAAAAGAGCAAGAACAAAAATTTTAGCAGAATAGCATGAATTCATTTTACTTCGTAGGTTCTCATCAGCTGCTTACAACCTGTGACATGTATAAATCATAATTAGATAATGAGTTTAAATGACTTACATGAGAGGGTTTTGTTAGAAGTTATATAGAAGACATATTCGTATAGTGTAGCAAGGGTGTAAATGAAATTAATAGACTGAATATTGTAAATATATACCTAATGTGAAAGAATATTCTACATCATTAATTGTGACAACAGTTCAAAAAGGGGGTTAGAAACAATTGATTACATAATGAGTAAAAATTTTGATAGGAATATAGTGAGTAGAGTTCAGTTAAAAGATTATTAATTTGAAACGTAGTTGAAGAAATAAAAATAATGAAAATCAATGATGTAATAAGTACAAAAATAATAATAATAATTTATGGTGCAGCGAAGGAATATTTGTCACCAAGGCAAAGAAAGATTAACAACCATCTCCTTTTGAACACGTAGATCAGGTTTTTGACGCCTGATGGCAACGGCTTCAGCAAACTTCAGAAGACTGGAGTTTTTTAGAAGTTCTCTGAGCATTCCTGTGTTTCGTTTTTCTGTTGAATCAGTCAAATCTTTTTTGGATTTAACTACCTTGAACCCCAGTTGATCTTCTAGGATTGACTTCATCTTAGTTACATAATCAGCTGTATCCATTAGGACTACACCTGAACCTTTATCCGGTCGTAAAATCATCACCTCATTATTTTGTTTGATGTTTCTTAGGGCTGTTAGATGTTCTTTGGATAGAACATTCGACTTTGGTGTCGATGACACGAAGTATTGGTTGGCAATATCAACTAACTTTGATTTGAACCATCCTTTCTTTTCCTCATTCATTGGTTGCAAATCTTTTAACTGGTCAAACAGATTTTCAAATTGAGCTTCTGTATCAATCCTGTCCGTATTTGTTTTTGGTATATGAAATTTGAGTCCAAGTGATAAGGCTTCTGTTTCTATACTATTGAGCTTCGATTTGATAAATTATAGATAGACTTCGAAGGGTTTTCCGGAAACCCTAAACATAGTTGTTCTCTTAACAGAGTTTTCGATAGAGATTTATGGAAATCCTTGCAAACCTTGATTTGAAGATCACGAATTAAGTTCATGAATTTTATTCGACATACGATGTTTAAATCATTAACGGCTCTAACAAAAGCAGAACGACATGTTCCACTTTCTTGATGTTGCCATAAAACGTAGGAAAGACGGGACAGTACAACGTTCAGTTTATAGAAAAAGCAATTGGCATGGCCTCTATCTGAATTTCAATAGTTTTTGTCCAATTAGTTACAAGAAGGCACTGGTTAAAACACTATTTGACAGGGTAGAAAAGATATGTACCACCGACAAACTTGAAGAAGAATTAATGAACCTAGAAAAATGTCTAAGAAACAACTTCTATCCACAAAAGTTTATTGACAAATATAAAAAGCCCAAAGAAAACAAGAGGGAAATAACTACGGTCAATAACGTCGCACAAATAAT